GGTTCCTACCTCTTTCACCAGGAACTGCAAAGAATATAAGAAGTACAGCTTTAACATGTCTGTGACTCGGGGATGTTTGAAGGATAGCAATGAGTGCTTCAGCACTGACAGTGCCTACAAAGAAATGTGTTTTGATTTAGCAACATCAAGTGAATGAAATGTCTTTGAAAGAGATAACACAGGCTAAATTGCATATAATATATATGTAAACATATATATATATATATATATATATATATATATATATATATCACATACCTTATGCATATATGATATGAATTACAAGCTCCATACCTCTAGAGCACAGTGAACCATTTGGGTTCCCCCCCCCCTTTACCACTTTACTCCTTTCCAAACTCTGTCTCCTCTGACTATAACACACAAGGAAAAGGGGGTGCTCTTGGTCACCCACTGCATAGGAGATGACTAGAATAACAAAATACAGCAGCAATATACAAAGTCCAGTTAGATTTAATACAATACAATTTCCTTCATCATATATGACATCATCTAACATAGTGCATATATCCTTTAATACACAAAAGAACACTGGGGCAGTTTGAATGCAAATGGCCTCTCAGTCTCATGTGTTTGGATGCTTGCTCCCTCGTCCCAGGCCATGACACAGTTGCAGCAGATAGCAGTCTGGATGTCAACCCACCAGATGAAATATTTTCTGATGGAGGAACTCCATTAGGCAAGGCTTGCAAAGTCATGGACTCTGAAAACTGTTGCTCCTGTCTATAATTTCACATGTGCAAAAACAGCTTGGTATTTCCCCATTACCATGCATTTTCATGTAATGTGTACATGCCATCCCATGATTACATCTCATTCTTACGGGCACTTATAGTTGTAGATGGTCAGGAAGATGACTTCTCATTAAGCTGTATAGTCTTGATGGATAGAAATATTTTAAAGTATGCTTCATAACTAGATCTATTGTTCCACATGAATTGTAAGGCACTTAGAAGCCTGTTCTCCATAATTAGCTTATTGACAGGGCAATTTGACCAGATGAAGTGTCTCTGTGAATAGATCACAAGCAGGACTTTCACAGATTATATTCAAGAACAAAATGATGAAGTGTCTGGCTTTGTTGAATCAAAGTCCTTCAGAGAATAAAGGAGACCTAAATGGCCCTGAGCTTCCCCCACTGGCAGCTGATAACAAGACTCACAACATTCACCTGCTCTGACCCTGTAGCAATTAAGACTTTGTGTGAACATTCTAACCTCAGTTTATGATACAAAACTCAAACTTCAACTAACTGTTCATTATTTAGGTCCCAAATAACTAAACAATTAGCCAGTTCCAGAGATAAACAATTTTATGTCCAGCTAAATGCAGGTGCCACTGGTCAGGAAAGTGCCAAGCACCATGTCACCACCTATTTGTTGCATGGTAAATGGCTTTGCTTCTTATCGTCTATCAAGGAATGTGCTATGACCTTGAGAGATAGTCTTAGAACTTTTCTTAGTATTGCAAAGAGTCTGCTGTTAGAAATGTTTATAGCCATGTAGAGGAAAGGCGCTGTAAAATTAGAGCTTAAAAGAAGCTGTAGAATTAGAGCTGAAGAAGAATGAAAGAAAATGACACTCAGAATGTGTGTGAGTCTTTTTCCCTGAGACAGATAAAAACTTATTCCTCAGGCCCTCGGATAAAAAAACTTTGATGCTCTAGAAATACCCTTCAGATAAAATAGTCATAAGTTTTATTTTGCTTTGCTGTGTATCTTTTCTCTGAACCCTGTTTGTATAGCCTTGGAGCTGGACTCCATGGCATACTTTATTTGGCACTGGAACAGGGACCTGTATATAGGTAGTCAGAAAATTATCTATGGGAGAAGAAGAAATTTTCATGGAGGAGACCCCAAGTAGCATCTTCTAAGAGTGTTGGAGAGAGTCACTCCCTAATAGTTAGCTTCAGGTAGACCTCGATCATGGATTCTGCAGATCCCCTGATCTCAAGTATGAGGAAAAGATGGGTCAAGATGAACTTAAGAAAAATACTACAAAGCTGCAGTTTGTTTCTCCATTCTCCATCAGCCTATTTTCTTAAATGATACCTCTTTTTCTCTCTAAATATGGGAAATTTCGAATTACACTTAGAAAAAAAAAATCTCACCGGGCGGTGGTGGCGCACGCCTTTAATCCCAGCACTCGGGAGGCAGAGGCAGGCGGATCTCTGTGAGTTCGAGGCCAGCCTGGGCTACCAAGTGAGTCCCAGGAAAGGCGCAAAGCTACATAAAGAAACCCTGTCCCAAAAAACAAAAAAAAAAAAAAAAAAAATCTCTTCTTTAAAATTTAGTAGACTTCATATTCTGCCCATTAATATATATCTGTTCCAGCAGATTTCTAATCATTAAAAAGGGGACAGGCTCCCACATCATCTTCTTGGACATAGTCTTGCTACAGCCCTGCACTCTTCCCTCCAGCTCCCCCAGCCCCACCCCACTGCACTTTATGGCCATCTCACAACACAGACTGATCTAATCACTGCCTGCACCCTCCTAACACAAACTGCAGCAAGGCTACCTACACATCTCACAGAGCCTGCATACCACTGCGTTCCAACCTTCAGGACCCCCAGCTTTTCCACCATGTCAGCAGAAAGAAACCATGATCAATTTCTACACCCCTCTGTCACTCTCCCTTCTTTCTATACTGAACTCTGGATTGCCTTTTTAAAACGTTCTATTATTGATTGTATAAATTTTGCCCATGCTCCTGAGATCTATATTTTATCAGTCTCCTTATATACTTCTGACAGTTGTTCTGGTATGAAAATCTTGCTATGTATATATTGAGACAGATTACTAGTGCCCTCTCATGGCCAAAATGGTTTATTAATTGCCATTATTACAAGTTTAAAGATACTTGATAGCTTCAACCACAGCCTTGGTTCAGCAAACACACACTGCTATTCAGGTATACTCTTTATCTATCATTGTAATTGGTCACTCAAAAACAAACTTATCCAAGATTAATAGATAAAATTAATGTTCTAAAAAAGCTATTATTTTTATGATAACTCAGATTCAAGTTGCTTACACACACTCTACAACATCATGTCATATTAACTAATAATAGATTTTTTATGTTACTCCTCTGCCCTTTATTGAATCAGAGATGTTTTAAAATCATATACAACTACACCTACAAGGTGTTTAGACTAGTTCTCAGCTTGCCATCAATATACATGATTGATAATTAATTATACTTCTTGATTATAAATTATAAATATTGATTATCTGTATGAATATTGATTAGATATTAATAAATTAGTAATTATTAATTTCAAAATCATTAAAATATTGCTTCCAATCATCTTCAGATTTTTTAATTTATCCACATTACTTGCTGCCTTAAGAGTGATTTACACATTTTCTTTTTATAAAACAAAAAAGGGGGCTCCCTGGTTTGTGGAACTGTTTGGGAAGGAATATCAATTGTAGACTATGAGGTTTCAAAAGCCCATGCCATTCCCAGTTAGCTCTCTGTCCATACTTTGTGGTCCTGTGTCAAGATGCAAAGCCTCAGCCACTACTCCAGTCCCCTGCCTGCCTTCCTGCTGCCCTGCTCCTGTCTTGATGGTCATGAACACAAAAGTCTCCAGTAGACCCTTTATTTCTATAAGTTTCCTTAATCATGGTCTTATCACATCAACAGAAAAGTGCCTAAGATAAGCATAGAATACCAAATTGGAAGAAACAAAATTGTCTTCAAACAGTCTGAGCAAAAAAGACTATCAGTTTCAGAGCTTGCAGCACATAAGTTATTTGGAGAGTGTGTGTTGGGAGGAACGACTAGATATACTATTCTGTGTCTATAATGTTATTGGAAAAAGATTAGAAGGAGATTGGCTGAAACCAAAGGAGTGAAAATATTCCTTCATCTCTAGTGTCAAACAGCACTGTTGTATGTGTAGTATTCAGCTTCTCCCTAAAATATCATGAACTCACAATAAAAGCAAACTTTCTTAGCACCACTCAATGTCAACCTGTCTGCCCTTAAGGTGGAGAGACTATAGAATGCAGGAAAATGCTCCACTGTCCTTTAAAATGTAACAAAAACCAGAAAGAATTATTGTGGCTTTCATTGTGTATGTACATGATGGGCAGGGGTTGGGGGGGAGGCAGGACATGCAAGTACTCATGAAATCTAGAAGAAGGCGTCATACCTCCTAGAGTTACAGGATGGTGTGAGACACCCAATATGGGTGCTGGGAACTGAACTCAGGTCCTCTACAACAAACTTGCATGCTCTTAACCCCTGAGACATATCTCCAGCTACTACTGTCCAATATACCTAACAGTGGAACAGGGGGAAGAAAAAGGGGTGAACTCCCCATCTCCTTTGCAGTGGGCTGCAAAGGGAACCAAAAGTTGCCTTTACTCCCACCCCGTTTTCCTTGTGCGCTGGAATTAGAGAAGGCAGCATTTGGAAAGCAGCCAAGTAGTAAGGGATCTGGGGGAGAAGAACTAACAGTGGTTCACTGTATCCTGGAAGCACAGACATTATGATGAAAAGCATACTAGCCTGATGTATTAATATTTTCACTGCTATAACAAAATACCTGAGAAGAAGAACTTAAGTGAGGAACAATTTATTTTTGGCACATGTTTTTAAAAGTAGCTTCAATCCATGACTTGCCTGGCTCCATTACACTGAAGCTGCTCACCTCACAGCCAGCCTGCACTAAAAGATTTCCACTCCTGTTCTATCAAGGACCTCAGCATACTGGACAATGCCACCTTCATTTGGGGACATTGCTGTCCCACGGACAGATTTTCTCTAGAGAGGGCTCCACAGGTGCTACCAGAAATAAAGTATAATTAAAATCTACCCTAGTGTTAACTAAAGAACAAGTTGATTCAGACACAGTGACACATGCTTATGATCCCAGGACTTCAGGAGGTGAAGGAGTTCAAGGTCATGCTCAGCTCTATAGTAAGTTCAAGACCAGCCTGGACTACATGAGGCCCTATCTTCAACAACAACAAAGTATGTATGATCAACAATCTGAAGATCTGAATCAGTAATGCAAAAGACAAATGTTATGTTCTTTCATAATCAAAAACAGTAATTGACAAAAGGGAGAAATGGGACTTGCAGTTCTAGAAAAAAATAATGATTGTTATTGAAGAAGAAACAATAAAAGGAGCAATTGCCAAAATTATAATTTGAGAGTTTTTTAGTTCAAAAAATACTTGAACATAGCAGGGTAATGGTGGATATGCTTAACACCACTGAGCTGTACGTATAATGTGGCCAATGTGGAGAACATATGTAAAGTGCCTCACTGTAAAAACAACCTGTATAGCAAGATGGAACAGTATCTTTACAAAGTAACAAAAGAGTCAACTTTCAAATACACTTCAAGTCTGGCAGTGGTGACACACATCTTTAATCCCAGCTCTGAGGAGGCAGAGGCAAGTGGATCTCTGTGAGTTCAAGGCTAGCCTGGTCTACAAAGTGAGTTCCAGGACAGCCAGAGCTATTACACGGAGAAAACCTTTCTTAAAAAAATAATAATCAATGAATAAATAAGTAATAAATAATTACTTTCAGAAAGTAGAGCTTAGGGAAATAATTTGAAATAAAAAGCATAAAGACTCATATTTCTATGAAGGCAGAAAAATGTCAAATTAACTGTATGAGGAAAGAGATTTTCTGATAGCTGCTGATAGCAATGGCTTTACCAGAGGCCACAGGGAAACACAACAGATGGCAATTTATAGTTCAGGTGTCAACCCGCCACCAGAGAAATAATTCCCTAATGGAGGAATCCCATCAAGCAAAGTTTACAGGACCACTAGCTCTGAACACTGTTGCTTCTGTCTCTAATTTTTCTCATGTGCCACCGCATTTATTCCCTAAAGACAACTATGGGTATTTTTCCCACTGCTTGTGTGTTTATCTCATGTATATATTCCATCTTTGGGCATGCATACAGCCGTAGATGATCAGGAAGATGACTTCTGCTTAAGCTGTGTAATTTTGATAAATAGAAATAATACTAGGGTATTTTTCATAACTGACATAGGAAAGTAACAGTATTGTCAAAGACACCTAATTGTCAAAGACAGAACAAATTCAAAACAGACTACCTGCTACAAATAAAAATAAAAAAATAAAATACAAGTTCCCATGTGTCTGTTGAACCAAAGTCAGGCTAATAGCATTGAGACACTGCTCCCTGTACAGGTCCTCTCAGCAGTTGGCTTTCTGCATGTACTCCCTACCTCAAGGTTCACCCAACTAACTATTTGTTGTTTAAGTCCTGAATTTCAATGTCACTTTCTATCTGGGAACCCTAACCACCTAGAGTTATGTGCACAGCCAAGTGTTACTCACTGGCCAGTCAGCATGACCTCCCTATCATGAAAGAAACTGTGTGACTTAAGTGTTATGAGAATGGGTCAGACCCTGAAAATTAATTGTTCAGAGCTCAGCTATTGAGGGATATGTATGTGTATGTGTGTGTGTGTGTGTGTGTGTGTGTGTGTGTGTGTGTGTGCGCGCGCAAAGGAGATGTAGCTGAGTATGCAGGGGGAAAAGTGAGAGAGATGTAAGAAGAAGAGGGAGTGAGTAAAGAGTGAGTGAATGATGCAGTAGTGTGTGAAGGAATGTAGCAGAGTAGAGACAAGAAATGTGTGTAGAAGAGAGACATGGCTATGTAAAGAAGTGTGAAGGTATGTAGCTGTGTGGAGAATGTACCTGAGTGGAAAGACATGTAGCTATGTGGAGACAGAGAGATTTTCTGAACTGAGTGGAAAGACATGAAGCTGTGTGGAGACAGAGAGATTTTCAGAAAGAGTTTTTTTTGTTTGTTTTTTGTTTTGTTTTGTTTTTCGAGACAGGGTTTCTCTGTGTAGCTTTGTGCCTTTCCTGGAACTCACTTGGTAGCCCAGGCTGGCCTCGAACTCACAGAGATCTGCCTG